GATGCCACGAAGGATTGAGGCAGTTCTGAAGGCAAAAGGGGGTCCAACCTGTTACTAGCATGGTGTACCTAATAAAGTGGCCGGTGATCTATCTATATATATATATATATATACACCCACACACACACACACACACACACACACACACATACTTTTTTTTGGGGGGGGGGTGGCTAAAAGGGAAACACAGATTACCAGAAAAATGAGTCATGTCTGATCTCAAGCGTCGTGTCGGCTAGGCTAACTTAGCTGTTGTCTTTGTTCAAAGTTCTTTGATCTGTGTGACGTGGGTTGCGTCGGCGCTGATTGGTTGAACCACGTGCGTACGTGCTTGCGCTCACGCATGCACAGCAGAGAGCAGCGGACTATCGACTGCTGAGACGTGCTTCATTTGAGTGGCGTCGCTACAGTTCATTTGGTAATACCCTGTCATGTGGTAGGTCAGACCTCTGTTGTTGTCTATTCGCACCAAGTAGCTGTTGGCAGATGACATGGTTGGACAGTCCCCTTCTGATTGCCACATTTGCCCCTGAGATCAAAAATGTTTGACAAATCTTGGAAAGAACGTGTTTGCACCCACTGTGACTTACGTCATCGTAGATTTCTTGAATAATCATTTCTGACACTCAAAGATTTTGAACCAAGAAAGCTGGATGTTTTGCCTCCTCTGGCCTGGCAGCTCTCCGAAGCCTTGCTCCATCACACAGGATTCCCTCTTGAAGGATTGGATCAAGTTTATCTATGCAACCGTTCTTTTTTTACATATGCTTACTTTTTAGTTGGGCAGCGATTTCCTCATGGAACCTTTGTTTTTGGCAGTTGTGCAAGATCTCAAGTTCAGCTTCTTTCAGGTCATCCACTATGAGACTTCCTTAAGGGTTTTACAGCTTGTCACAATTTGGTGAAGGTGCTGTCTCTGATATTAATTAACTAGCAGCTAGTCCAGTGTTTGCTGTGAACTCCCTTCTCTTTCTTGCCAGAGACAGCAACGTGTTTTTTTTTTTTTTTTTGGGGGGGGGGGGGGGGTTCAGCTCCAAGCAACTGCCCTTTGGATTCGTGTCCATGCAGAGCAGTGCTCTGTCACTTGTTCAGTTACATTTGTTTTTCTTCCCATGCAAGAGCGGTCCTTTTGAACTCATGGTCTGCTGCCATGTGGTTTGATTTCAAAAATCATTGATTTAAATTCCAAATTAAATCAGCTAAAAATTTACAAACCAATACTTTTATTTTCTATCAATTATTTTTTCACGAATGGAGAGAAAATTCGAATGTTGCTTTACAACAAAACCAAAAAATGTAACTGATTTTTGGGTGTTTTTTTTCTTAGTTTTGTGTCTTTAAATTATATATTCATAAGGTGCTACAGTACTGTATACAGTAGACACATTATTCATTACTGTACTGTTATGTTACAGGTGCATTTTATAGAAGTAAAGTTTGAAATCAAATTATAGATATTGAAACTTCCCTTTTTTATAAGAGTATAAATGACTTGTTTTAAAACAACAGACAAAGTGGAGTGATTAATCTAAAACAATTGTATGTTAATGGCAAACAATATCAAATAAGTGTATGCTCATATTTATGCACTACGTACAGTATTGGAATAAAAATAAAGAGTACACATACACGTTTTTTGTGTTTGTGTGTGTTTACATCTGAGATTTAAAAAAAAATTGGAGCCTATCCCAGCTGTCGTCGGGCAGTAGGCGGGGGACACCCTGAACCAGTTGCCAGCCAATTGCAGGGCACACAGAGACAAGCAACCAGCCGTGCTCACACTTACACCTACGGACAATTTTGAGTGTTAAATCAGCCTCCCATGCATGTTTTTGGAGTGTGGGAGGAAACTGGAGTACCCGGAGAGAACATGCAAACTCCACACAAGAAGGCCGTAACCGGAGTCGAAGTTTATACATCTGCACTGTGAGGTTGACGTACTAACAAGTCGAAAACCATGCCACCCATAAACAATCCAAAATATTAAATTGTGTTTTTATTATTTGAAGGGCTTATGAGATCTCTTGTTTCTGCTTTGTCTTTTCAGAGCTTAGCCTCTGAGATGAACAGTCTTGTTGCACTTCATGAACTCTATAAGTATGTCAACAAATATTATGACCAGGTAACTAAGATACACACACGCACACACATGCACGCGCACACACTATTGAGTCATAGTGTTCCTGTGGTGGTATTACTCAGGTAATCATGTCTCTGGAGGAGGATAATTGTGGTCAGAAGATGCAGTTGGCATATCGACTGCAGCAGGTTGCCGCGCTGGTGGAGAACAAGGTCACTGATCTCTGATGGCCTATTATGACCTCTGATGGACCCTATCCAGAGCCCCACCTGGCTGCAGTCAAGAGACAAGAAGAGACTTTCTGGAGTGAGTGAGTGAGTGAGTGAGTGAGTGAGTGAGTCAGGAGACACTGTGTTGTGATTAATGAATGGAGTGTCTGAGAGGCCTGAGAGCGAACACTCCAGCTTGTACTACATTTCCCAGAGTTTCGTGCACAACTGATACATGTGCTGAATCCAATCAATCATTCCATTAATCATTCAGTCAACCCAATTGACACATGGATCGCACATTCAGGTGTCTTGACACAAAATGACTCCAAGCCAAGTCCAGGTGGAATAAAGCTGTGCTGTAGTCACCATTAAAAAAGAAAATCTGTATGACTGATGTGACACCAATGTGCATGTGACGACCTCCCACTGCGGCACCAGACTGCCACAAAACAAAGATCCCACTGAACTCCGACCTGCTGTGTGTTATTTGATGATTAACTTAATTGTGTGTATGTATTCCAAACATATTTAAGCCCAATTTATCCCAGCTGTGCCTTCACTCTTGCAACTAGATGATGCTGTGACAGCAGCAATGTTAAAAAAAAAAAAAAAAAAAAAAAGCACTGGGAAAACACAAATGGCCAAGAATGTGCTGGCAGCATTTTACAAATTGTTCTGACATCACATGCTTACAGTATGAGTGTTATTGTGATCCAGCAAATGGCTTTGTATGCTGGCTCTGTACAGCAAAGGTAGGTCATAAACAAAAACATCTCAAACTCAGTCTGTCAGCTTTTATGTCAACCGTCTTTTACTGATGCTATAATGTAACAGTTTTAGCTGTATGATGCTATAAGATACACTGTTATGCTAGCTATTTGAACAACTTTGCTAATATACTTGCATGTTGTAAATCATGTAATCTTTATCTTTACTATCAAGCAGCTGTAGTGACTAAAGTCCATGTCCACAAACAGAAAAAAGCAATAACGTTAATCATAATAGCGATGGTGATGAGTTCACAATTGTTTTTAATTAGATCACATAATGATGTGTCATGTGACCTTATCAGTGTTTTCATGCTGGGTTTTAATGTACATAACCGGTTCAGATAATGGATGAATTATCTTGTCTTTACTAATCTTTTTTTATGAAAACAAAACTGTCAGTCAAGCTTGATGACCGTGATGATGATGAAGACTGTTTTTCTGATATTTGTGATGTGTGGCTTCTTTCTTTGCTTGTTTTCAGCTTGTCTTGAACTTTGAACACTATTGAGTTTGCATGCGTGTCATGATGCTGAAGATTTTTGGTGTGTATTTTATGTAACAAGACAACGATGAGGATGATACGGATTCATTTAGTGGGAGGAAAATGCTGCTCTTGGTACACTTTTTGATAAGATGACTGCTCTGATTGGACGAGCTCCCTTTGCTACTGATACTTTTTATACATAGGATAAAAAAGATTGCAGGATTATCCATTCCTACACAATTTTTTTACTGACGTGCAATGTCAATAAACAGTGTGATGCTCTTTGTACCATGACAAAATCATTAAAGTCTAATTTTTAACATGCATTCTTTCGTCTGTTGGTTACTGTAATTCACATTTGGGCAAAGTACATCCCGTGGGTCAGAGCTGGCCTGCCCACAGTCTCTGACTGAACATCACAGTTACAATGGATTCAAAGTAAACCATAGAATATGTGGTGCTTTGATTTTGAAAGTGTAAGCGAGATAGCAAGCAAGTGTAACTTGTGTCTGGAATTTTGCCTATTTAGCGATGTTTTTGCTATATTTAGCAACTTTTCAGATGTCTGCAGCAACTATTTTTATTTTATTTTATTTTTTCTAAAAAGAGTCCACAGTGGTCTGAATATAAGTAGTGTTCTTAATTCTTGCACGGTGGAGGGAAGAGGAGCAAGAACATTTTGACTGATGATATTGTATGCAAAACTAGAGTTTCATATGCTGGGTGAATTATAAGTCAGCACTCTATGATTATACATCACTGTTAATAATATACTTCACATTTATCACAAATTTGGGAGTCCTGACTCGGACCATCGAATATCAGTTGGCAGTTGGTGCACAAAATCATCATTATAAATTTTAAAAGTATGAAGATTTAATGTTAATGACTGCTTACACTTTTGTTTAAATTTGTATTTCTTAATTGGAATACCATCATCTACAAATGTAGCAATTTAATGAGGTTGACAACAAGCAGCTGTTCCATCCACCAGCCCTCTGAGGAATTTGCTGGGAGCAAAGATAAGATAAGAGAAGAAAACCTTTATTAGTCTCGCAATGGAGAAACTCCCATTCAGAGCAGCAAAGTTATGAAAGGAAGAAGTAGAAGAACAAAATATAGGAGCTGCTGGAAAGGAAGCCACTCTCACGGCGCCATCTGGATGTCAAAATAAAATAACGCAACCCAACACATAAGACACAGACAGTCGTGCAAACTTAAAACACTTTTCCTGCATACACTTTGTTGTTTGAAGCAGTTATAGATGAAAGAGAGGATCAAAGTGTCCTTTCACCAGTGGATCAGAGACTTCGTGCTGAAAATGTGCACACGTCTGCTACAAGCTAAGTTTTGAAAGCAAAAACGAAGCTGTCGCGTCCATTGACGAAAAGAGATTGGCTCACAACTCCTGTCCCATGTAGTCCGCTTCAACAACTCCAAGCCGCGACTCCCAATTCTGTTTGGGGATTATCCCCCCCCCGGTCTAGTTAAAATGGTATAGCCCAAGAGGCAAGGTGTGGCTTGCCACCGTTACTGTCAGTCAGTGATGTGTTCCTCGAGCCGGGCCTTGGCCTCGAGGACCAGCTCGAGGACCGAAGGTCGGTCCTTGGTCCTTGGCCTTGGCC